CGCACAATTTCCAACAGTGGAATATTATAAGTGAACACTAAGATCCCAATTTTCGCATACGGTATAATACGTATATCTGTACGCTATGCGGTAAGTTTCTTGTTAATCTCAAATTACCGTTAACGTGTATATTGTTATAGTGAATCTTAGTAAATATGTCGACAATTTTAGAAAATTTAATTACTAATGGAGCTTTGCGTTAAAAGATAATTAAACACGAAGTTCAGCAGGACTACATAGAAATTAAGTACAAAAAAGTACTCCCTGATACATTTACTTAATTGTATATGTTTATGTTTATATATCACCTAATGTACCAGTAATTAATAACAAGGGAGATTGCTTTATCTTTCTTACTATAGGTACGCTATTATTTTCGTGAAATTTTTTATACGAGACAGCGAGAAGGCATTAATGAGTGTTGAAGTTGAGAGTAAATTAGTTAGAGCTCCAAGCTGAGCTAACAATATTTCTGTAACACTACAGAGCACACTAAGTAGTTTATGAGTCAAATAATAGTGTCACATTTGACAAAAACAAAAATTAGATGTATTATACAACAATTTAAGAAACACGTTTTGAGTTACTCTCGGTGGAAATTAGAAAAAAAAATACAACGTCTAATTATACAACACGCTACTGAAGTGAAACTTCTTCTAACACACAAACATACTGGGATAGGGTTTAAGCAATTGGTTTAATGGTATAATTTGTACACTATGAATTTAAATTTTGCACTATACATGCCGCAGTTGCCTGTAACGAACGTTGCATTGAAGCGCGCTCACGGTTCAAGCGATCCCCACTACGAACTCGACTGCGTGGACGAGTAGAGGGAGGACATCCGTTGCATGATTTCGTTACATAGCAACTTGCATGAAACGAACTTATCCTACCGTGCGTAAAGAAGTTTCACTTCAAAAAAGTCATATGCCAGTAGGAAAGTTTTTATGTGTCAACTACGAAACAAAGAAAATCAACGAAATCAATAAAATTATTCAATTATTTTATTTTTTTCTGGAGAAAAAAATAAAGGAATTTAATGTATTAGGGCTAATACATCAATAACGACTTTTTGTGGAATTTCATCATATTACAATTGGTTGTATCATACAAAATCAATTTTAGTTTGAGTAGCCTTTTATGTATTCACTTAAATGAGCTGGAATACTTTTCGCCCTGTTAGGGTTTTTAATAATAACGCTTCATGTAAACTAAATATTTCTTCCTGAAAAAAAATATAATAAGGTCGTCGCTTCATAATTTCATTATTTTCTCAGAAGCTTGCAAAGCTAAGATGTTGCTTTTAAATCATGCGTGTGCTGCTAACAGGAAAGGGATAGATTGAGAGATGAAGAGAGACAGACATAAATCTACGAAACTACAAAAACTACACACTGTTCTATAATAATAACAACAATAAATAAACAAAATTGAGGAAAATGCACTCCACAATCTACAAGTAGGCACTAAAGAGTATATATACTTTTTTGTGACTGTTAGTACAGTGTGTGATTTTTTGGAACAATTTGTACTTAGACGTGAATTTATTGAAAATGTGCAGTTAAATTTTAGAAAAGTTTTATAATTAAGTACTTATAAATACAAAGGGAACTATAACACTATAATCAGTGCGATTCTGTAACTGACCAGATCAAATACAAATGTACACATAGAATCGAAATGTTATTAGCAAATCGAAATGTTCTATTTCTATTGCTTCTTTCAACTTCCGACATTCTGTAAGTCAAGTAGAGGACGCGGTCAATCGAAATTAAAAAAGGATGGACTCTAACGTATGCATCTACTAATAAAAGCCGATTGGAAAAGATATACTTCGTTTACTTTCTGTAGCGATGTGATCTTCAGTTTGACCGGCACAAAGTGGAAAAGAACAGCACTAGGCCAGAAAAGGAAGGAGACAACTCTCGGCCAAACTCTTAACCGGTGAGGAGCGTATAATCTGTACAGTACTGCACGGAAAAATTGACCATTTTATCCACTACAATTGCATTGCTCAAATGTGCTGTTATTGATACCATTTACTACTAAAAATATCAAGAGATGTTTATTTATATTTGAAGACATATTAAAGGCTTTAACGCTTGTTTTCGACTCGCACTACTATTCATGATTGAACAAAACTTTTGGCAGGTACTGTATGAAAAAGTATGTTTAATGAACAAGAGTCGAGAGTATAATGATCATTTTTCTCCCTACCTTCGATTTTGCCAGCGAGCATCCAAGATATTGGAAGGGGCACATCGCTAGAGAAAGTAAATGAGGTATAGCAGCATTGCATTTTCGGAAAGAATATAGGCCGTGGTGACCAAATGACATATTAAACTGGTGGAATACCATTTTCTAAGAAATACATGTACGTTACAAGATGTGGAGCTAGGAACATTGGTTAAAGTGAAAAATCAACACTTTAACTATATTTTTCCAAAGCAGTTTTAATTTTTAATTTTTTTACAATTAATTCATCGAATCAATAGATATTGTTCATTTTGCTATTTATCTTAATTCTTTGAATGTTTGTTTTGTTTTCTATATGCATAATTTTATCTCTTAAAAATAAACGTTAATTGTAAAAAATGTAGAATTAAATGCATGTGTTGGAATATGTCAGAAGCACATACGAATAAAGATGTTTACGGTGAAATGCGATTTCGAAATCGCATATATGGTCGAAATCTATCTGCACTTCACATTTTGATTGTAGAAGTTACATTTCGACCCGAGGAGTTACAGAATGTCGATTTACTACAATCCCGATTCTACTTTAGCATTTCTGTTCGATTTCAAGCATTTCTATTCGATTTGAAGTTACAGAACAGGCTTGGATATCGTTTGTTAGTTTTGTTAGTGATATGACTGTGATGGGAAAGGATCTAATCCTTTCAAAAGCTATAAATAACATAGACAGTAATTGACAGTACCAAAGTATACTTATGAGTTCCATTACTTATCTTAAATTTTTGCTGATTATTCATTTGAATCAATTTTTAATATCATAGAAAGTGGTCTTTTGTCTTATAATGATAAAATTAGAGTCAATCATAAGAGTTAATTTTTTTTTGTACTACGTATTAGATAGTAAAAGAGACTGGATGCTATTTATAGCTGAGAGATGATTATGAATGAGTTAGAGTTTCATTGATCGGCACTATCTAGTCTCTCTTATCTCTTTTCATGGTGTTTCACATCACTGTGGCCATAATCACAAATAACTGAACAACAACTGGCAGCCTGTGGTTAGCACTTTGGCGCCCAACTATAAAAAGTCAAGTTTAATAATAATAATAATAAAGTAGGTACTAAGATACTCGGTGCAGTAAACGTCTTTAGGCAGTACTAATGTTTGACGTGGTCCTTTTGGAAGTCAAGTCGTTATGACACAAACAAAGGAGGCACAAGTGGGACAGTTAGGATGTTCCTGAAACGTCTGCATGGACAGCGCTTCCAACAAGAACAGATAAAAACGAAATCTTTCTCGTGTGAAACAGTGATGGAATACAGTTATTGAGTTTAAAGATAATGCAAAGGTTGATTGAAGTTTTTGAGACATAACAAAAAGTGTTTTACAAATGACGAGGAACGTGTTTAGTACATTATACCTACGATTTACCAACAAAGGATGATAAAAGTATAGTATGGTATATCGAAATAAAAAACGGAACCATTATTTGTTGTTTGTCTGTTGACTGAATTAAAAAAGCCCTTTTGCGTGTCAGCTATTAATGGTGGTGGGCGGGCATTCTTGTGCTAAGCCGGGGAGTAGGGCGGAGGACCCCTTTTATCCCCCTTTTAGGAATTGTGGGAATAGGTGCGTGATTTTTGGAACGATACATATGAGACTGAGGAAAGGAAGACAGAAGATTATCTGTGGAATATTATCTACTTCCCCAGCATTTGTCTAAATGGTCCAAGGAGATCAGGGCAGGTGAACACCAAAGTGAATCGGCGACCTCTCGAAGATTAAGCTCAGTGTCGAATCTCTGAGTTATCATCAAAATATAGAGATAAAGAATACTTTCCGTTGCCATAGAATTAAATCTTGAATTGTGTCGCGATGCCACGAAGGAAGATCTCATAGCACAAGTAACGGAAAAAAATTGAAGTTTCATTTCCTTAACGTTAATATACAATGTGCTGCCATTCATTTTTGCTGGATATCACAAGCAAATATAGTTCAAACTTAAACTAAGTATTTACAACTTATTAACCATAAGCATATTAGTCATTCCCGTAATGATTTTCTGTACTTTTACAACTCTTTGTTGGTAAAATTTTTGTATTTTTCTTGTGTAAATCTTACAGTTTCCACGAAGGTGTTATATTATGTAAGTATTTTAACGATCGAAACACTTCACTCAACCATATTTTATACATAGTACAGAGCACATTTTGAATTTTTGAAGGTTTAGCATAAGTTAAGTGTCATGATTAATCGGTTAAAGTTTATAGATAAGTTAATTACATCGTGATACATTGACCTGTGGACAGATGGCAACAGAAGTTACATAATTAGTTTCTGTTTGCTTTCCTTTCCGTTAGTGAGTCCATTCCTGTGCATTGAATTATTATTTTCAGTTGGATCATAAGCAGAGCAAAGATAGAGAGACATATGATTTGTTAATTGTAATGATTAATTACAGTATTATTTAAATAAATAGGTTAACTTTACAAAATTGATTAGTAAGTGATTGAGCTGGAGAGGTAGTTAAAAAATGCGAATCAACAAGCATTCATGATTAATAATGCACTTTCTGAAAATTGTATATCCAAATCACTTCCTTTAGATACTTTCAGATCTTTTTACGTTAAAAGATATTTGTACTTTAACCCTACATACAATCAGATTAAAAGATAAGTAAATTACGTTTAATAATAAAGAACAATTTTCAATGTTAGACATAGGTAAAGGTCAATTGTTTATTAATACTTAGTCTACGTTTTGTTACCACCACCTTTGACCAACTACCCCTCTAACTCACCGTTGTAGGCACCACCCTCTTGGTACGGCTTGTGTTCAAAGGAACCTGTACAAAATTTTTGATTGATAAACGAAAAAAAAAAAAAGATAAAAAATTGAATTTGTTATAAATTTTGTAATCTATATATGTATAAAAAACGTTATTGCAATGTATTTAATTTGCGAAGTAAAAAATTAATAAAACTAAAAACAAATTTCAAAACACGCGCGATAAATAGTGAGGTTTCAATCAATAGAAACATTGATTATGCGTGATGTTAAAATTATCCGTAAAAGTATAAAAATTTTTGTTAATTTATGCATTAAATGTTTTGAGTGATCTTGTGGTAAGCACTGTGCCATTCCGACGTGACAGGAATCAAACCTGGGCATTGTACCGTACAGTGCGGTACACGGGTACACCCAGCCGGTAACCATATAACAATGTTAACCCGCGGTCCGACGATCACCACAGAAAGAGAGCAGAGGGAAAAAAATCCTACCGTGTCGCCTACCTTCTTCTCCCATTGCAACACGTATGGCACGGGCTGATCGTCGGGAAAATCGACGTGGCAGTTGAACACCACGGACTCACCGAGAATGGCCGTGATGTGTACAGCATCCTGGGGCACGGTTGTCGCCTCGGTGTTATTACAAAAGGCTGTAACAAAAAGAAATAAATTAACATCATATTGGACACGTGTACGATAACGTTCTATACGGTTTAAGTAGTTGGTTATATTTGGATTTATTATGATAAGGTCGTCAGTCCTAAGACTGGTTGGACACGAATCTATCCTGAGCTAATCTTCGTATTTCCTTAAAATTAGAACATTCCACATCCTTAACTGTTTGCTAACAGTAATCTAACCTAGGTCTACTCCTCTTAACTCCTGTTTTTGCTTCTAATATGTCTCTAATTAGCCCTTCATGCCTGAGAAGGTGTCCTACGAACCTAATATTTTGCCTTATTGACTTCCATAGTGGCCTCTGTTCTCTTATTCTTTCTAATACCTCTTCATATTTGGATTAATTACAGGAAAATTGAAGGTAGATGCTCATTAAAAGCTACGTTGAATATTTTTTTCTAAATTTTTAGGTAATCTTGTTTCAAAAAATGGGGGAAACGCACAAAAAAACACTTAGATTAAAATTTAATCAAAGACATGAGTGGAAGGAGATATTATGCCGTAACTGATTTCTTGAGATTTCCAATGCATGTTTCCCGTGCTTCCCAACGCGGGACAATTTTTGATTGTCCTACCATTCTACCTCTCCTTTTTTTTTGTTGACTTCCATAGCGCCTTTTATTCTCCTTATGTCACACCATATCTTCTCCGTATAGACATATTTCCATACCCCTATTATATCAATGCCTGTTGCGTGGTATTATAACGTAGACATTGTTAAATAGAGAATAAACGCTATAGCAATATTTTTTTCATGGTAAGAAAATGAGAAAAACTTTTTTTTTAGTTGTAAAAATTTATTTAACTGATAAATAATCAGAGAATTGGAGACCGTATCCATTAAGAATTTGAAATTAAACGTAAACATCCTTCGGGGAAAATAAGGATCTTAATTTTTATAAGCATCTAATACATTCACATTTGCATTGTCAGAAATTGAAAACCCTGTTTAATGGAAACATTCGTGCTTAATAAACTTCAACGGTAAAAAAAAATACAGAGTCACATTATATGATTATGCAGTGGACCATGCAAATTCCTTTTGATGGACGGTTATGACGGGTCCTTTCCGATTTCGAGTGCAATCATAACAGTTGTGTTGGCTGATGGTTGGTTGGTTGGTTGTATTGTTGCACAAATACATAGTAATAACAGTCAGCGGGCCAGTTCACAACACGCCAAGTCAATCCGTGAACGTTCGGTACTTCCCTCTTTCGTCGCAGGTTAATTAACTGTCAAAAACTGCATCAATCATATCCCGACCGCGAAAAGGAACATGTAGATAACTAACGTGTACATGTATGACGTATTAGCCGGTCTGACAGTGACACGTTGGTAGGGAGGTGTACATGAATAGGTAAATAGCCTGTTCATTGAATTTTTTGGGCCACATTAATCGGGAAAAGCGTCAACACAAATATTGCCGATCATTTCGATTAGAAAAATGAAGGGTGGCTTTTGTAGGCGGCTTTATTTTTGACGCGAATTTTGCAGCAAGTTTAAAGCCCCAAAACGAAATACAAAATCCAAGTTAAGGAAATTTCAGCGATTTAATTCATTTAACGTAATTTTCTTTAAATTGTAAACATGTGACTCCTAACATAACTTAATTTGGTATGACATATCGGATTGAGAATTATTTCTATCTGGTATGTATTTTACTGTATATCAAAATCATAAAACAGGAAAACGAGTCTCTCCTTGAAAATGATTGCAAATGAAGTGTCCGCAAATTAAAAGGGTGGGTCTCATTGTTATTTTACTGGAAAATTAAGTATTTTGGTACTTAGATATTTTAGATATTAGGTTGTATTGAGATAAGGTTTTCCTGATTGGTACACGTAAAGTACAATGCAGCAGATTAAGTTAGGTTATAGTTGGAATAGGTTTTTCTGATTGGCACATGTAAAGTAATGTGTACAAGGGATAAGTGCTATGCACCAAACGCTTATCGTTAGATCAGATGGGATAAGATTTCCCGGATTGGCATATGCAAAGCGCTATATGCCAAGGCGAATGCTATGCACCGATAGCTTAGGTCAAGTTACCGTGGGATAAGGTTTCCCTGATTGGCACATGTAATATGTTGTGTACTGTAAATAAGTGCTATGCACCAAACGCTTATCGTTAGGTCAGATGGGATGATTTCCCGGATTAGCATATGCAAAGCGCTATGTGCTGAGGTGAATGCTATGCACCGACAGCTTAGGTCAAGTTACCGTGGGACAAGGTTTTCCTTATTTGCATATGTAATGTGCTGTGTACTGGGGATAACCGTTTATCGTTAGGGCAAGTGAGATAAGGTTCTCCTGATTGGCATATGTAAAGTGCTATGCGCCAGAAGTAAATGCTATGCACCGACGGCTTAGGTCAAGTTACCGTAGGACAAGGTTTTCCTGATTGTGCTGTGTACTGGGGATAAGATTTCCTAATTGACATGTGTAAAATGCTATGCGCGAAAGTAGAGACTATGCGCCATTGGCTTAGATTAGGTTATAGTGAGACAAGGTTTCCCTGATTGACACATGAAAAGTGCTATGTACTAAGGATAAGTACTAAGCGTCAAGTGTTTAGACTAGGTTATAGTGGTAATGGGTTTTTCTCATTAACATATGTAATGTTTTGCAGCAGGGATAAATGCTATGTATCAATAGCTCATGCAAGGTTGTAGTAGGAAATGGTTTCCCTGATTGGTATATGTAAAGTGCTACGTATCAGGAGGAAGTGCAATACGCCAACGGCTTGGCCCGATTGGCATATGGAAAGTGTTATGCACCAAGGATGACTAATATGAAGCATGGACTTAGGTTACGTTAACATGGGGAGATGTCTCTGTAACTAGCATATGACAAGCACTATATGCCAGCTAAGCGCGTATACCAAGGGCTTAGGTTAGACTATGTCATGATCAAAATGCAGCAAAATTTCTTAGAAATAATCTCAAAAATTGTTCTTCCGTTTCTCAAAATTAAGTTCTTGCACATTTCTGTTTCTGTTTCCTTCCTGCCAACTCCTAACATACCCGCTTTTATAGTGCAAGATACTAAAGCAATTCATTATTTTTCATGAAAAGTAATTATTATCCTAATTATAAAAGATAATCAATTATTAGATAGATACCTGTTTGTAGTAATAGGAAGGCAAAGCCAGCTAGAAGAGGTACCGTAGCTAATGTGGTGGCGGTCAGCGGACGAGACTTGCCCCCTGGGTGTGTGCGCATGCCCATCCCGGTGGTTCCATCTCCCTGCTAGCACACCCTCATTGCCGGCGGTGCTAGAAGAATTAAAAACAATTATTAATAATAATAACAATAAAAGAAATTATTGTAATAGCATTACTATTTATTTCAAGAAAGAATAACCAACCAAGCATAAGGGTGAGTTGCCAGCAGAGTTTAATGCCTTTCATATAACCACGCTGTTAGTATGCTGTAATAAAAAATACGCGGATTTTTCAAAATCAAACAAATTGGCTTCTTTATGATTGGGGTAAAAAAAATAACATTGTAACAAATGTTTACGTTCCGCCTTCGAAAGGCTTCGTCTTGGCAGATTGTTATATAAATGGCGAAACGTACGATAGGTATCGGTTGTGATATTGAACTGCTTTTTAGTCCAATTCTGAGTTTGATTTCTGTACAGTTTTTCAGAAACTGTAGGTAAATCTTAAATGACATGTTCATAATTAACTATTGGTTTATTTTGATTTTGTATAATTTCATTCCTGCTGCATTTTTTGGGCAAGAATAATTTATTTCTGACAAAAAAATTAAACTGAAAATAACTATCACTTAGGAAAAAAAAATTCATAGAAGTAGTCTTGATAGCGTTAATAATAATACATTAATTCATCAAAATAGCAATCGAAGAACGCCTTTTAATATTATCAACAAATCAACATATTGCAATAGGTTAAAAGTACAAATTTAATAATACAATTCCTTAGTATATATTGATCATCATCATAAGATCGTCAGTCCTAAGAGTGATAGGACACGCATTTCCACTTCTTCCTATCCTCAGCTAATCTTCCCACTCCCGTAAAACTAGAACATCCTACATCCTTAACTATTTGTACACGGTAATCTAATCTAGCTCTACCTATACCCCTTTTAACTCCCATTTCTGCTTCCAATATGTCTCTAACTACCCCTTTATGTTTCAGAAGGTGTCCTACGAATCTATCTCACCTATTTCTTATTGACTTCCATAGCGTCCTTTGTTCTCTCGCTCATTCTAATACCTCGTTATTTCTAACCTTCTCTAACGATTGTGTATCCTTATCATTCGCTTGTAGCACAACATTTGCTTTTCTGCCGTGCCTACCGTTCACGTTTCGCAACCGTACAGAGTCGTAGTCCAGATGAATATGTTTAACAATGTTTTTCTAAATTAATCGTTTGTGAGCAAAAAACATTGAAATCTATGATATTTTCCATAGCATTTGGAAAAAAATCAAAACCCAAAGCGAAATATTTAAAGGAAAAACAAATTCCCTGCCTACATATTTCTGAATATAAAAACCAATAGAAAATCGATTACGATAAGACCGGACAGTAGCCATTCCAAAATATATTTCGAAGAAAAGGCAAAAATAAAACTGAGTCTAAATACAGCTTTATTATTAAGTTAGAGTTTCAAAAAACCTAAGAAAATAGCATGCTGCACGTGTAGGGTCAAATCTGCGTGGGTTTATGCTGAGAACAGCCAAGATTGAAGGTGGGTGTTAATAAAACTCTGGGTTAAGATTGCTTTCCCATGAATCGAGTATTTNAACTCTGGGTTAAGATTACTTTCCCTTGAATCGAGTATTTTAAAAAAATAATTTAAAAAAGTCTTGTGTTTTTCATGAAGTTTTCAAAATGAAAATTTTCATTCTGGTTATTCCTTCTGAAACACTGAAGTATTTAAATACTTTTCTATTTGCTCTTTGTGTTATTAGCCACTCCGGGGAATTGGGGCAAAAATTATTACGACGCTCCTTTTGAAATTTAATTTAAATATAATACTCTAATTTTAAATTAAAATCTTGAATTCTGATTGTGAGTGCTTATTTTTCTTCGATTTCGGAATAAATTCAAAACCTATTAAACCATACTACTATAGCAATCGTCTTTGCAATTATCAAAATCGGTCAAGATTTAAGCATAATATCCAAATCAATATTAGCCATCATAGACGCATCCTAACAGTTAAACAGGTAATGCGATAGAAAAAATTATATTCACGGACACATGCTCTATTTATTCCTGAAATAATTTTAGCTGGTCCATCTCGAAGGATAAATAAGCGTTACAGATTTTTCCTGTTCAATCTTATATAATTTTATTATCGACATATAGTGGTAGATCAACCTTTGTCCAGCGCTAATTTTTTTCTAGACACGGCCCTGAATTGGATACATCATCTAATCTATCAAAAGGGACTTCGGATACTTAAGGGTCTCCCCGAGTTAATTCGCCACTGATTAGAAAATATTATTAGATAGCTAGTTTCCACTAGGCAGAGTCATATTAACAAACTGATTAGTGTCTCATAGCAATTGCTTTTTTTATATCTAAATTTGCGCTATTATTTTTAAGACATTAGCTTTTAATTCTTATACGATTGAAGATTGCGTACCTACGGCAACATTATTGAAAAATGACGTTAGCCAATTATTCAACAGTGTATTCTGAGTTTTGAACCAACTCATATTACAACGCAGAAATATATGGAAATATATCTATATAAAGGCGCATACTGACTTGAGCGGCTTTGAGTTATTTGTATGCGTAAACGTGTGCTTTCAATTATATATCTATCAAAAAAAAAAACCTGCCCAAATTTGGTAAATTTACGCTTAAAATCCTTTTATGTTTGCCAGTAAAGATAGGTACAGATACAGAGTAGCAGACTTGCAAAGTCGGCTCGTCGCTTCGCGAACCCTACAACATACCCACTCTGTCTGTATGGGCGAAGGAGCGAATCTCGTTCCCTAACACCCCTGTGAACCGATCGGCGTTCCATCGCATGATGCGCATATTTACTCAAGTCAGCACGCACTTTTATGCTACACAATTATTTACATGTTAATTTACGTTTAACTTAATTGATTACAAAACTTACAATTCAATATATTACAGGTGAGTTCAATGTGATGTTATTATCAGTTCTTCGATTAATTTAGACATTCTGTGCCGATGCCGTAAATGGAATCTCTCATTAATTTCGTAATACATACATATGTATAAATTTGGCAAAGTAAACTTTATATTATCGAAGAACACATGTAAACTAGTAATAAATTATCATTCAAAGCAGGACCTTCATCGGTCTCGATCTCTACTTTCGATTTTGTTAACTCAATTACTTAAAGGTTATTGCCAATGAATTTCGGGGTCTCCACCCCTCCCGTTCTTCATTGTTTGTAGAATGGCTAATTTGCTTACCGACCTTCGCAATTGGGCAAAAATCGATAATTACATATTTTAATGCGCTTTAGTTGTAATAAAATCTTGCCTTGTTATTCATAGCTGCGAATTATAAATCAATTTGGGAGAAAATGATATTAAACTCGGCAACCTTTTTCTTCAGGTGTATAAAAGGTTCTGTGATAAAATTACAATACCGAAAATTCATTCTATTTAACTTTTAAATAGGTCGCCTTAATACGAAAAGAAGAATAAGTATGTTTTATATGTATGGTCAAACTGCAATCTCATAAACTGTGACAAAATCACAAGCTCTTGTCACTGTGATTTTACCGGAACGGTCAGAAGTGGGAACTGTGACTAGATAAAAAAATCCTTGTTGAAGAAGATATTTATATTTTTCTCACGTGTAGTTGTACCCTACATGTCAATTTTGTAGTGCATATTGCTGTTATTAAATGGGGATTTCCAGTCTTAATATAATTTTTGCTCTGTACGATGATTGAAATACTAGACAGATGATCAATATGAGCAAAATAATAAATTACAAGTTAAAACACAACAAGTTTTCATTAAACGTTTCATAACTATTTATTATATTTTAATAAAGTGAGAATTTAATCAATTTAAACATCAAATGTTATAGTATTTCATATACCTTCATATGGTTTTCAAAAAATTCTTGGTAGTTAGTAAACTATTGCGATTTCGATCTCATTGGGTCACGTCAGCACGTCGCTAGCAGTTCCTACAGAACACAAGCCAGCCTACCAGATGCTACTAAACAGTGTTCGATGACTTAAGTACAGATGATGATTTCACTTAATTGTCTGTGGCGTGCTGACGAGGTCCAGTGAGATCGAAAGAGCGATCGACGTCTGGCAGTTTTCGTTTTGCTTAGTTACGTGTATATCACGTTATAATTACACCGTGGGTTCACTCCGACAAGTCGATAAAAAAAGATGTTTTTGTTTTCTATATTCCACATCTAATTTTCGCTGCCAAGGCACATTTGCTATTTTGGTTTTTGTTTTGAAATAGGTACATTATATTGTCTCAGTTGATAAAAATTTCACTATGAAAATTTGTGGTAGCTCTTGCATTTTTGCATTTAGGATTCCTTGTATGATGAAGAGGTAAAAAAGAGACCACTGATGTAAGTTTTTTCTTCATTGAGTCAAAAGGATGTTTCAACTAATGAAAGCAGGAAGATAAATTGATGTATGCAAGGCAAAAGCTACAAGAGAATAGCCCCTGTATGTTGTGTTTTCAATATTTTTGATGGTAATGAAGAAAAGATAGCGTAATTGATCTTAATAACTTAATTTTTTAAATTTGGTGTATCACATACACCTGTGTACATATGCAAATACTATGTATGTAGTAGATTCAGTTTGTCAAGTAAATACTTTCGTAAAATCCTTTTGCCAGAAACATATGATGTACTATAATTAGCAGTAAGCAACAGTAGATGGCGACATGCAGTTAATCACTTAACATTATATCAACTTGCTTTGATGGAGCAACTCTCGATGAATTGCTGATTAATCTGTTGTTAAATGTTCTTTTTTTTGATATTTTGGATTAACTGCAAGTTTTTTTATTTATAAAGTTTGTTCTGGTACGTCTGCATCGTTTGTTTCCTTTACTACAATCTTTCATATGATAGTATAATTACGTATTATTGAATTCTACAATAAATAGCAAACTACAGATGACGTTCACTACTCTGTCTGTAATTCTTCACATTATTCGGTAAGGGGACACAGCTTAAAGGGTTAATTTATATTAATACCAAACAGGCAGGCAAAACCCGTTCATATGTGTATGGGTGTGCAGTCACCCTTTAACACTTCCATCT